CTCTCCCAACAATGTTTCCTGGAAAACAAAATTTAAAAAAAAGTTAGAATTGCAATTAAATTAATTAATAACACAAATTAGTGTTTAATCAAATAAAGAGAAAGAATGGAAGAGAAAAAAAAAGGAAATTAAGAAGATACAAAGCTAAAATTAAATTAATATAATGTAATTATGAACATAATACAATTAATCTAGCAGCATCTGAATAATGGAAGAAACAAGGAGGAACAAAGAAGGGAGGGGAAGAAAAAAGAAGAAGGAAAGAAAGAAAGAAAGAAAAATTGAGCGGGTTAAGGTGTTGTGGTAATATATAGAGTATTTTACCAATGTGGCTCTTGTCAGAGTTTATTTTACCGACAAAATGCACACCGTAATGTTGCTTGCATGCGGGAATCCAAAATGTGCAAAAATTTTCCAATCCCGCCCAAACCAACTTCATGTTGGAAAGAATTCTGCCCATTTTACTAACAAAAATTTTCCAATCCCACCCAAATTAGTAGTTTGAAGATTATGTAAAAAATTCAACGGATCAAAATTCATATTTAACCTAAAATTTACTTAAACCAATAAATCTCATAATGTTAATATCAAACACTTAATATTAAAATTTTACAATTAATTATCGAAATTTCACTAAAAAAATTATCAAAAATTACTAATAACTATCCAAAAAATTTAGTTAAAACAACAATCTAACAAAATTAATGTCCAATGAACTAATGACAATATTTAATAGCATAAATTTCAAAAAAATAAAAAATATATCCCTTTGACCAATTAGTTACAACGTGTTTCATTTTCCGCAATTTTAAAAGATAAAAATCTATATTGAACTAGAAAGGCGTAAGTCCAAAGAAGCTCATCAAATAGTTACAGAGAAATACAACTTGAAGCCCGTTGGGTTCTTAATGGGCTTCACTTAGAAGTTTGAACTACAATATGTAGATGCCATTTAGCCCCAAGAAAGTGCGTAAATGGATTGGGTAAAGAATATGGACCTGAATTGTACCAGCACCGTCTCACTTCACCAATCCCGAGCCACCGTCGAGTAATGTAAACCTCATCGCAGACACAAACCTCATCTTCGTCTTTTTTCAACATTTCCCCATCTGCGTTTATAAAGCAAAGATTTCCGTTTTTCTCTCTATTTGTGCAGCTTTTGGGAATTTGTTGGAGAAAATACTAAAGAAAAGCAAAGATCAAACACATTGTAACTAACTAGTCAAAAGGAAGAACAAAGGAAAGGAAAGCAAGATGCTTGAAGAGGAAGACCAAAATGAAAGGGTAAAGGGGTCTGGGGTGGTAAGAGGTAACCCCTATCGACGAAAACCACATTGCAACCATTAAAAGCTGATCTTCTCTGCGGAGCTACAACATGCAGGTTGACCAACGTGATCACCGAGAAATGTATGGCTGGCAATATGAAATTACTGATGAGAATTTTGTCGGTAATAGTACCAAAAGCTGCGAGCTCAGCCATCGACAGCCGGATTCATGAGGGGAGGGTTAGGGACTGTGAATTTACCAACGAAGTCTTTGTCGGTAAATTCACCGAGATGAATCCTGTTGCAGATTGAATTAGTTACAGGTGTGATCTTTGTCGCTGATTTGTTTATTGGTCTGCTTGTTGCCGGAGTGTACTTTGCAGCATATTACCGATGAAGGGCACGTGTGTATTGTGCAAATTTACCGAGAAAAATTTTGTCAGTACCTTAAATAATATAAATTACTCTTATTTTTACTATTTCTTTATTTGCATACATTTATCTTGTCGGTAAGGGGATAGTTTACCGAGAAGACTTCTCATGTCGGTGATTATGGGTCGGTGATTTTGAGTTTTCTAGTAGTCGCGCAACAAGCCCCTCTCTTTAAGTCTCTTCCTCTTGTAAAGCCCCTTCTTTATTTTTATTTTTGGGTACAGCCTTCTTTTCTTTATTTGTAATGGTTTTCCTAATCTTATTATTATTTTTATTATTATTATAAATGGTTAAATTCTTCAATAAATTTTAAATAAATATTTAATAGATGTTAAAAATCTTTAATTAATACCTTAAAAATCATCAATAAATAACTTAAAAATCATCAATAAATACTAAATAAATATCCAATAAACTTTTTAAAATCTTTAATAAATATCAAATAAATACATAATAA